ATGGAAACTAAATATGTGATACAGTATAATAAACATATAGATTACAGATTGAATGAATCCTAAAATCATGGTCTCATTGACTGCTGATCACGTGGAAATAGCTGGAGATGCAGTTGCCTTAACAACCCCAAGGTAGATTTTTCGGATAGACATTCCGATACTTAAGTCAACAATAGTCTGATTTACCTTTAAGAACTATGAAAAAAAAAACTTTTAGTCTATTTCAATTATCTTTTCGAGGTGACATTTGGAGGTATTTATAGACCCTAATGAGATATCCACGTGACCTGCTTAACAAAATAATCAGAGTCTAACATGTCTATTCAGGCGATGATCTCAGGGATAGAGGATTGGGTGCAAACATGTTTACTGTCGTTGTCATGCGACTACACAATCGGGAAGAACTAAACTTACAAGTTACTTCTGTCATTAAAGAAATATAGCAATACGTCCGAGGTCTTTAACCTCGGACCTATCCTTACATGAATCTTTTTCTTTCATCTTGAAAACAAATTCGCACATACCACCAACCTCCAATCGCTCGAGAGCAGTGATGAACTTTAATCCATCTGGAACAATCCCCAGGCCGCATAGATGAATTTGCAAATGGCGAAGATTGGGCACGGTTTCCTCGTTGATCCTCCATTCTTCTAGGTGAAACAGGTATATATTGAAGGACTAGGGACTTGAGTTGAGGGAACTCTTGTTCGCGGCAAACCATTTCTTTCCCCTTGAAGGAAGACACATCTAACTTGAGCATCATCAAGCTAGGCAGCTTCTCCAACATGGGCATTGGATCTTCCATAAGATCAGAATGTTGTAAAGTTGACTTTGTGATGTTTTGAGGGAAGTACTGTTGGGATGGCGGTAAGTTGCCCAACTTCACTCCAACTTTCATCTTGGAAAGACGAGGACAACACTTGTATAGTCCACTGATCCAATCAACTATTGGCCATTCAGGAGGATCTTCTTGTGTAAGGAACTTACGTTGAAAGGACAAGGACTGAAGGCGATTGAATGTAACGTTTGGAGGATTAAACACCTTACAAATCTCTAGGTATCCATTCTTTGAAAAACATAATACTTTCAATTTTCTAAGACCAATCAGCCTCATGATTTCTTTTCCAGCACCAGGGATTGCTCTTAAATTCACGAGTGCCTGTAACTTCCTTAAATTACCCAATCACAACTTTCCATTGCACAAAACATATTTCTTCCATTTAGGAAAGTAAAGATGCCTTAGCTGCTCCATCATCCATATCACATCACGCATCCTTATGTAATCTTTTGCAAGATCTCTCATGGACTGTAAATCTAATGTTTGCAAGCATTGAAACTTACCGATAGACGATGACACTTGACCTTTTTCTACAGGGAAATAGAAGCATCTTAAACAGTTCAGTTCTCCAAAATTGGTTATACAATCTAAAATGGATGAGTTTTCCACATCCAACACCCTGAGTGACGAGGCAGGAACCTTGAACAAGATCCGTTTGTCTTTGACTTCATCATGAAGAACGAGAGACCTAAGGTTAGAATTTCTTTTGTCCCTGACCATTCGTGTGCAATAAAGGAAGCATTTGATGGCATGACAAGTCTATGAACTGGGAATATTGCTGCTCGCATCTAAACATAATCATCTCCATCCTTAATGATCTAGAAAAAGTTCTCCCGTTATGCAATTTTTATACACAGTTCTCGCATTAGGTCGTGGAGGCGGGTAGTTTTGATTCTTCCACCCAACATGACTGTCCCCACCTGAACTACCCATCTATCTATCAATTCATTCAAATAATGCATTCCTACTTCTTCCATGGTTTCTCCTTGCGTTTCTGGAACAAATCCTTCTGCCACCCACAACTGAATCAACTTCCTTGTGCTTATTTTCAGATTTCTCTGGAAAATGAGAGAGATAGAGGAAGCAATGCTTCAATTGGCATGGCAAATCCAAGTAGCTTAAGGCGAGCATCCGTGCAACCCTTGAGAATTCATCATCATGAGTATTACCTTCCCTCAAGCACCGTGACATATCATTTTGTACTTTTTCCCACTCGGACAATGTTTTTTTATTTTTTTAACATGTGCAATTAGGGGGAGGAAGAAGGAGAAGGGATAGGGTTTAAACCCACACCTTATGATGAGATGCCTTTTTAATAATATTTAAGTGGTCATTTAGATCATCTGGACTCCTCAGTGTGTACTTGGTTGATAGAAGTCCTCCTACCAGTACAACAATGGCCAATGCTAAACCTCTGCATTTTCTTACAATATCCTTTCCCAATACCTCTATCTTAGCTTCAGTCATGATGGGTTCTACAACACTGAATATAAATAAGTTCAAGTAACGTACATATTGCTATTTTTTAAATTTTCTATAATAATTTATTCGAGTCAATATCTATATATATATATATATATATATATATGTGAATGTACATCTTAAAATTTATAAACCATTGATTAAAATAATGGTATTACTAATACAGAAACATTATTTTAATTAACTATTGGATTTGTAAAATCTAGAATTAATAATTTGTGCAATTATATACAAATGATAGGGCAAGTTCATTTGGATAAGAAGAAATTGGAGGGTAGAAAAGTGAATAAGCTTCTTTATTTAATCTTTAATTTTCTTTTTTTTTTTTTTCCCCTTTGAAAGGAAAATAAAATTGTAATCAAATTACAAAATATAAGATACTCTAACACATTAGACCAAGCAAGCAAAGCATATCAGTACGTTTAGCAACAAAACAACCCTATACATATTTTTTTCATTTCTTTTATCAAAAGAGTATTTTATTAGATAAACTATATATTAAAAGTATAATTTATCTTATGAATTTATTAAAATACTCTTAATGAAACTATTTTCCTTTGTTATTTTATTAAGAGTATTCTAATAAATTTATAAGATAGATTATAATTTTAATATATAATTTAGACTATTAAACATAAATCCCTCCTTTTATTTATTTTAACATATTTGAATGATAAAGAGAGAGAATCCTTTCATTTCTCTCACATTTTTTCTAATTTTCTCAAACTAGACAAGTAGGGAAGGAGGGTTCTTTTAAGGAGATAAAAATTAAGCTTGAAAGCTGCCTATTCTAGCCTCACAAAATCCACACCTCTCCCTTGTGAAAACCGTAGAAAATAATTAACCTATGGCAAGCAATGTAAAGGAAAAAAGACCGAACCTCTAGTCCTCCAAGTCGCCAATGTTCTTGTGCTCGTGTGCCTTTCGGAGATTCTTGCACTCAAGAGAACTACTATATTAGTTTGAGATTTATTCAAAAAGAAAAGTTGCTAGTCTACCTTTGCACCGAACCTCGGTAGGTTTTTTTTTTTTTGGACTAAATTTAATTTTTCCGCGTGATAAAATTGTTGATAGGATGTTTACATCCAAAAATCCAAGATCGGATTAAGTCTCTCAACTCAAGGGTCAAGAGTAGTTTTAAAACTTTCACCAAAATAGTTATAGGGAGGTTAAAACTTGTGTTAATTTCCAGCTAATTAGAAATATTGATCTAGCTTTTGTTTTAAAAAATCTATTTCCAAATAGTCTTATACAGAAATTTTTTTGTTTGTCATAAAATTTGTTTTCTTAAAAAATAAAAAAAAAAACTATTTTACAGTTTAAACTGTGTTAGATTATAAAACAACTATCATTGAATTGAAGAAGCCTTTAATATTGAGCTCTCAACTCTATCTAAACATTTATATTTTAAAATTTAGTATAATTCGAACTGCAAAATAAAAATATACAACTGAAAAATATCTTAAGAAAAAATCAACTTTAAGCAATTCCCTATATTCAATACTACACATGCATGCTTTTGCTAGTAAGAATATGGGTATCACAAGTACTGTAACATTAATAAATAAATCGTATATGCCTGACTCAATTCCTTTTGAGAATGCCTTCTTCTGAAATAGTTCCCAGCTCTTTTCTTCATCTAAACACTGCATATCATGTATATGCAAAACCTTTCTTATTTGCATGCGAAGCCACTTCAATTCCCTCTTACGAGTTGTGAGCAATAATTTGCTACTGGTGGCAGCCGTATGTGGTGGGAAGGCAGGGCTTAATTAGAAGGTCCCATGCTTCTTTCCTCCATATGTCATAAAGAATCACCAAACATTTTCTCTCAAGTAGAACTTGCTAAAGGCTTTTTGCTACCTCATCATCGGTTTGCTTTGATATTTTTTCTCTCTCTTCTGCAGAAGCTGAAATAAGTTTGAATAATATTTCCTCCCAGACTTTCCTTGTTGGGAACTGTTGAGATATATAAACCCAAGCAAAACTACAGTCGAAATTGCTCCTTATCTCCTGCTGATGGTAAATCCTTTTTGCCAGGGTGATCTTGCCCATCCCACCCATTCCACATATTGAAACAACTCGATTCAATTTAGATTTGTCGACCAGTTGTGCCACTAATTTCTTTGTGTCTCCTCAAGCCCAACAACAACATCCTCTTTAATATGAGAGTAAGATCTCCCCAATTCTCGCCGCCTTGTGATCTTAGAACTTGGGCCCTCACCTTCTCTTGTTGGTCTTTTGTCATAAATTTGCAGCCTTGCCATAAGATTAGAAATCTTAGATTTGATAGCTTCGATCTTTGATCCAACATGGTGCAGTTCTCTCCATTCCCCGAATATACGAGAATATCTGAAAGGAGATTTAACGTTTGTTTAGATAAAAATTAATAAAGGAAAGGGAAGGAAGGGGAAAGGAAAAAAAAGGGAAGGAGAAGTAAAGGAAAAAAATGATTGATGTTAACTTTATTTGATAAATAAAAATAGAGGAGAAGAATAATATTTTTATTTAATTAAATAATTTTTTTAAAAAATAAAATAAAATAGAATTAAATTTTTAAAATTTATTATTAAAATATAATTAATATAAAATATATTTATATATTTATTTTTAAAAAAATTTTAAAAATAAATATATAAAACTAATCTCCCCCTCCAATTTAAAGAGATTGAAAATAGAGGAGAGGAGGAGGTTAAATCTCCTTGCATCTCTCTCCATCTTTATTAAAATTAATAATTCAAACACAACAAAGAGATATGTCTCCCCTCATCTCATTCCTTTCTCCTTCAACTTTCCCAATTAGGTCTAGCAAACGAGCAGGTTGGGTCGTGTTCAAGTTGAATCAATTAGGGTAAAGGGTTATATGGATTGAATCGTAAACGGATTATAAGTTGAAAAAGTTCAACTCTAACTCGATCTTAGTGGATTATGGGTTAACCCGGGAGTTGGTCTTATTTTTATTCTCTATAATTATTTTTATTAATTTTGTTATATACAAATAAGATTATATATATCTAAATCTAATTAAAATGTTATAACTCATTAACACTAAGTATTTTATAATCTCAACCACAAACATTTAAATTAAAAAAAATCATAAAGTTATAAATAATAGTAAGTTAATTAAAAATGTTAAACTTAAAATATTTAAATTTCTTGAAAAATAAAGTTTTAATTTTATAATTATTTTGAAATATTATCAACGAGTTTAAGTCTTTTTTTATTATGATGAATTACTTTTCTAAGAACATTTTTCGCTAAATTAGTATATTTATATCCTAACATCACATCTTTAATATTTTTAGTTGCATTATCATTTAATTTATGATATTTGGTAATTATATCAAACTCACATAATTTCTAGAGAAAGAACAAGAAATTATGATGAGTAAACACTTAAGATAAGTTCAAAACCATTTAAATAATGGAAACGAAATTGGAGAGTATAAATTAATGAAGAGGGTTACTAATAGAAAAATTAATTAAGAATAATAATTATAATATTTTTAAAAATAATAAAAATAAAAAAACGAACGAATCAACCGGTTAACTCATAAATTGATCTTAACCGACTTGTAATCCGTACAAGTTGATATCATAAATTATCTACATATTGCAAGTTGGGATATGTAAATCTTAACTCACTTTTGCGAATTGGATTAAGATCAAGTTATCAGGTAAGGTGGATTTTTGCCGCGTCTTATTGCCAATCCAAACTAAGGGTGGGGTTATTGCCACAGCCACTAATGTTAATGCCACAGCTTTTTTCAGTTATTTGACCATTAACCCACGCGGAGAAGGCGGTGACTGCTGCAAGTTGGATTCAAATGAGGGGTATAATAGTCAAATAACTGAAAAAAGCTGTGGCATTAACATTAGTGGCTGTGGCAATAACCCCACCCCAAACTAAGGGTTAGTGGGCCGCTGCCTCTTAGAGCTTTTTTTGAAGCAAAAGCATCAATAACATCCTCAGCCTCGTAAGCAGTTTCCCTGATCTCTGAAACCCAATTTCGAATTCCCCCACTTTCATCTTGCCTTCTTTCCGCATCATTTAGAAAGCATTGCATGCGATTCAGTTCGGTTTTCAACTCCTCAACTGGAGCACGAACCTCATGTGAGAATTTTGCTTCTTTGAGAAGTGAGTTGCCAAGTGTTTCGACTGCAGACGATACAACAGCTTCAGCCACTACAGAATGGGCACAGCAAAAGCAGTACAGCTTTCACGGTTCGTGTTTCC